TGCTAGAGAGTAGAAAGGTGCAGTGTCTAGGGTATTGGGGTTAAGGTAGAGAGGTTAATAGTCAGGACTGCAGGGGGTGCAGTAGTAGGAATGCAGGGTGGCAGGAAGATGCAGTGTCACTGTGCAGAGTGTAAGGGCACTGAATTCCAGAATTCAAAAGGCCAGAATACAAAAGATATTTGTAAGGCTACATGGAGGCTCCTCTAACTGAGCGCCACTCAATAAGGTTTTGGCTATTGGACCACATGGTCTGCACATTGTTTGCAATTGGTGCTGTACCCACATGGCTGTCAAATTGGGAGAAGCATCCATGCAGCCACTGTCCCCTAATCCCCACGCAGGCAAACATGGCCCTCACACGGGTATACTCTGTAGTACACACATGTGAAAAAAGCCTTAGAGGTTATTAACACATTTTGCCTGACATGAAAAATGAAAGGTTTTTGGGCACTCCATGTCACAAGTGCATTATCAAAAGATTTTGGGTGGTTGGGCAAATTGCTTGCCCTCCCTACATTAACACCTTCCTGCCCAACCTATAGCAGATTGACAGCCGGGCGGGACACTCGCCTTTGTGATTGGGCGTCATATGACGTCCTGTCAAAACTAGCCGCTCACGCGACATATCATTACACCGGCCCGTTGCCAGTGTCATGTGGACACTGTGACCAATCACAGTAGATCACATGTCAATTGTATACAATGGATCGCTTCCTGCCATGCCATCTCTTCTATACAATTATGTTAGCTGTGACTAGTCAAGGCAGTCACATGATACAGACAGGGCCATTCACAGCCCATCTGTATCATGTGATCAGCTTTGCCCAATCACAGCTAATCACAACTAATCACAACAAAAGACTGAATTAATCAGTTTAATTCAGTAACCATGATTGCAAATATCAATGAAATACATTGGTATTAGTAATCATAATGTGTTAAAAAAAGAAAAAAACCTGATCACTTGCCCAGAGTAGTTCAATGTTACTAAGGTAACATTGTATTGCTTTGGTCACAGTGTGCTGAAAAATAAAATAGTAAAAAAAAAAAAAATTGTAATAAAAAAAAATAATAGAAATATTTGAAAAAATATATAAATTCAATTATTATTATTATTTTCACAAAAGATATGTAGCAGAATACATTTTGACCTAAATTTATGAAGGAATGTTATTTATTTGCAAACTTTTATAACCGAAACGAAGAAAAGTGCGTTTTTTTTTCACAAGTTTCAGGTGTTTTTTGTTCTATTTGGCAAAAAATAAAAAACTCAGTGGTGATTAAATACCACCAAAAGAAAGCTCTATTTGTGTGAAAAAAATTTCATATGGGTACAGTGTTGCATGACCACGCAATTGTCATTCAAATTGCGACAGTGCTGAAAGCTGAAAATTGGCCTGGGCAGGAAGGGGGGTATAAGTGCCCGGTATTGAAGTGGTTAATTATCAACTGATGTAAATTAAAGTCAAACTAATATTTTAGAAAGTAATTTTACTACAAATGCAATTGCTATTTATTCAATTATTCTTTTTCTCCTGACATTGAATTAGTATGCAGATGGCAAAGTGGTTCTAAAGGCTCAAGGTTTTTTATCTTCATGTATTCTATGCATGAAGGTAAGACACCTTCTTTGTGCAGCAGCCCCACCCAATCCTTTCCTGAGCCCCCTCCGATCCAGTGATATTCTCGGCAGCCTCTGCTTTCTGGGGACTCTTCCTATACATTGGCTGAGACAGCAGCAGGAGCCCATTGGCACCCACTGCTGTCAATCACAGCCAGTGAGCCAATGAGGAGAGAGTGGGAGGCAGGGCCGAGGCATGGCTCTATGTGTCTTAAGGACCCATAGAGCAGTAGCTTGGGGACAAGCACGCCGTGGTGCCCCCAGGGCAAGCAGCCTTCCCTGGGGGGCACTGCTCGAGGGGGAGTAGCCAGGAGCGCTGGCGATGACTGGAAAAGAAGATGATCGGGGCTGATCGGTGCAAAATCACTGCACAGTGCAGGTTAGTATAGACGTGTGTTATTTAAAAAAAAAAAACAAAGCTTTAGTGTCACTTTAACAGCTTCCCATCTGTCCTATAGCAGAAATACTGCTACAGGGCGTCACGGGTACGCAAAATCACGTATATACGCCCTCCCTTTCTGCCCAGCTACTCCATTCAAAGAAGCCGGTATATATGAATGAAGGGTGCAGACCTTTCAATCATCTGTCTGTCCTTAATTGATTCGTTCATTCAAGGCACTGCAATATTAGGTACGCCAGTTCAATTGCTTTGTAACACAAATTACTAATCAGCCAATCACATGGCAGCAACTCAATGCATTTAGGCATCTAGACGGGCTGAAGACGACTTGCCGAAGTTCACACTGAGCATCAGAATGGGGCAGAAAGGGGATTTAGGTGACTTTGAACTTGGCATGGTTCTTGGTGCCAGACAGGCTGGTCTGAGTATTTAAAAAACTGCTAATCTATTGGGAATTTAACGCACAACCATCTCTAGGGTTTAGAGGATGGTCCGAAAAAAGAGAAAATATCCAGTGAGTGGCAGTTGTGTGGATGAAAATGCCTTATTGATGTCAGAGGAGAATGGGAAGACTGGTTCGAGATGATAGAAAGGCAACAATAACTCAAAAAACAACATAAAAGCATGGATCCAGCCATCCAACCTGCCTTGTATCAACGGTACAGGTTGGTGGGGGATATTTTCTTGGCACCAGTAAAGTGTACCTATTAAAGTGGCTAGTAAGTGTGTATGTGTGTGTATGTGTATATATATATATATATATATATATATACATATATATATATATATATATATATATATATATATATATATATATACACATATACATTTACACACACTCTCACAAACATACCCTATCATAATAGTTAAACCTTATCACAGTCCCTGAAGGTTTTTTTCTGCCAGAAAACTGCTCTCAAAAATGCAGACCAGAAGGCTTTTTTCTGCCTTTAAATGCTGAGCTTAAAGTATGCCTCTAAACATCCTAATGTGCATAGACACAAGATAAAATTGAGCTGCTTTTACAGACAAACATAAAACTCCTGTAGAAGCACTGTTTTTTAAGCCAGTGTGCATGGACCCTAAGGCTCCATGCACACTAGCATTTTATCAGCACATTTAATATGCTATTATCAGCATATTTTTTTCTAGAAGCTTAATAGTGTTATCCTATGTGTTCATGCACACTACTTTAAGCTATTAGCATTTTTTGAGCTTCAGCATCTAGGAGCAGAAAAAAAATAGTTTTTATAGAATTTTTTGGAGCATTTTTCCAGTAGAAAAAATGGTAAACGCTGCTAAACGCTACTAAAACGCTCATAACAGCTTTTTTCTAATTTTTTTTTTTTCCTCTACATGTACTATAAAAACAGCAATAAACGCTAACGCTACTAAAACACGCTATTACCAGTGGCTTTTAACCCGCATTTTTTTTAGTTTAATGAAATGCTGTGTGCATGGAGCCAAAAAGTCAAGAAGCCATCAGACCATCAGAACTCTTCTGTTCACAATGACAATGTAAGCAATAGCATTTAATAAACCCTGAGGTGACGTGTTCTGTAGAAGTACCTATCCAAGCAAATGAAACATTCTATTTCTTGACTAAACTGTTACAAATACTTTAGTATACGTTTTGCACAAGCAGCAGTATAAACATATAGTACAGTGTAGTCAATAAATGCAGCCTACATGCAAATTGCATTTTATGTCAAAAGCACCATGCAAAGTAATCCATGGTAACTAATCAAAACTCAACTTTTATTGTGCTAATATGTCTAAATGAAAAAAAAAAAAAGCTTCCAAGAATTAGTGTACACCAGTGGGTTCATTACCGAAAATATGGCCCAGATAGCAGTGATTTCCTACTGGCTGATCTTGCGCAGATGTTGTGACCAGCCAATGCATGCTGGAGCATAAGCAAAGTATAGCTGTAAATGCCAGTTTCATTTTCTCAACTTTTTAAGGGAGAAAATTATGTTACAACTCCATAATAAAGCACAATTAAAGCCTCACACCATGTTTTCCTGTTTATATTTCATGCCATCACATGCTATTATTTAATTTATTTAAATTCACTTCTTGCCTTCCAACTTCAGAGCTCTGCATACATAGCTGGGCACCTGCTACACTGCTCAGAACCAACTTATTCACATAGATTTGTAGTGGTGAGGAAGAAAGAGCATATGTTGGACCACTTCTGTTAGACTAGGGATTGTCAAATTCTGGAACCTATTTATAAAATAGGGAAATTTGGATTAGGCTATGGAAATGAGGACTGTCAATACATATGTCTGGCTGTAAATCTATTTCTGTGACTTAAATGTTTATTAAGCTCTGCCATTCAAGCAAAACACTCTACAAGGTGGCTATCAGTATAAATATAAGACTCTTTGAGTAGCTGTTACCTTCAACCATGCTTGATAGTGTGAGTCCAAATAAGGGTTATTTTTAATGAAAAGAAATTCAAAGATTTGGGTCCATATTCATGTAGAAGAATGTTTTTACTTGCTAAGTGAAATAATTAGAATTTGTGCATAAAACTCAATTATTAATCAAGCAGTAAAACAGAAACTGCTAAAAATGCACAATTCTCAATTAAATAATGGCATTTAGCTTCCTACAGTATTCCCATATTTATATTTTCAAGCAAAGCAAAAGGGACTTGATTGCTTTGCAGACCAAATGGTGACATAAGAAGAAAGGTCAGCGTGAAGCCAGTTATTTAGAGTGAAAGGGAACTGTGATAGAACTCCAGTGTGTAAAGACAGAGGTTAGTGTCATAAACTGGATAAGTCAGCAGTGGGCAAAGCATAACACATTTCACAGCTGAATACCAACCTACAGAAGCTAATTACCAGAGTTTATTTTTCCAGCACTAATATAAAGCAGCAAATTTGATGGATGTTTAAAATCATGTCCAACCCCCTACATCTCCTCATGAAAAATGTATTGTACAAACATATTCTATACCCTACGTACTTTTGGACAGCTGGATGTGACTTTAGAGATGCAGCTGATGAGGTCACATTTAATGCCGAAGACAAGTCATGATTTTCCAGAACTTGGCTTTCTGGATGGAATTTTCGCCGTAATGGTTTGGTTGGTGGTTGGCTGAAGACTATTTCCTTGAGGAGAAGAGAAAAAAAAAAGATGAACATAAGCACTTAATACATACATAAATCCATTAACATATGCCTTGTACATGAACTGTTTGTGGGTAATACTGTATGTGGTTACCCCTGAGGCCTTGCTGAGCTTGCATTTTGGGTTTAATTCACACCAGGGGCCTTTTTTTTAAGTGGAATTTGTGTGTTCTTCGCAGAATTGCTTGGGTTTCTTTCAACAATCCCAAAAAGCATGCTAATATGCTGTCAGCCTTTTCCATATAATGAAGCTCTGCATGACTAAGCCCCTACTGGTAGAAATGCAAAATAATGAGTAGGAGAGGATCTGGTGGTGGGCAATCTGCTTTTTGTGAGTTTTCACTACTTACAATAAAGCTTTTTGATATTAGGGAAAACTAGGGGAAGTGCAGTCTGTTGGTTTGTATCTGGATACTTTGGTGAGGTACAGATCCTAGTATGTAGGCACTTATGGCCAGGGTAGGATCTGTAAGACTGTTGCAGCAGTAATAATCTTATGTATGTCCTCTGTGTTCTACTGAGTGCATTTCCACCTGTCCAACTTGTCAATTTTTTTCAACACAACACAACTAAAGTCTTTATCTATCAATGTTGCCTATTTATGTTCCATCACTTAGCAGAAAAAAAAATGTAAAATGTATGGTATGGTATTTGTATTAGAAAAATTACATACATGATGCTTGGTCAAGCAGGTGTTAATAATTATGAGGATGACCAGTAATTGGCCAAGCTCAGTATGATGACCAATGGTACAAAGCTGAAACCATTACATTAAAGAAACAACGACATATCCTCAGCGCCAAGTCCCAAATTCCACAGCCTTCAAAATGCCTGGCAGCTGCTTACAACACTTGGAGTAGTGACCACAAAAGGAACAAGACAGCAACAACGCTCAAAGGCATACTGAAAAGAATGACCAAGCTTGAGTGTTATCCAAACATTTTGTAAAGGAATTACACGACTATCAGCCCATGCATTTCCTTAGACAGTTTATTGTAATGTATAACACAATGATAAAAACGATCAGCAATTGGTACTCAATGTGAGTGGTACTGAATTACCAGGCTCTGTGGCTGTGGTGGAATATCCTGTCGTTCATGTAGAGAAACACAATGACAGAGAGCCGATGGAATTCCTTCTTCCTGCAGTGGAGTGTATGTCAGGCCCCGGGCTCCACCGTCCACCGGAAGTGACGTGTTCTGGTCCTGGAGGAAACAGGAATCTAGCTACAGAGAGCCGGGCTGGGTGGTGGCGCCTGGGGCCCGAGATACACTCCACTGAAGGGAGAAGGAATTCCATTGGCTCTCGGTCATTGTGTTCCTCTACTGGATGGTTTCCTCATGAACGGCAGGAAATTTCCACCACAGCAACAAAGCCTGGTAACTCGGTACCACTTCCATTAAGTACCAATTGCTGATCGATTTTATCATTGTGTTATACATTACAATAAACTGCCTAAGGAAATGCATGGGCTGATGGCGGTGTAATTCCTTTACAATATCTTTGGAGAACACCCAACCATTCTTTTCAGTATGCCTTTGAGCGCTGTTGCTGTCCTGAAAACATTACATTACTAAGTCCTCAAGATTTTGATGTTGGTTATGTAGTTTTTACAACACAATCATGCAAATATATTCAAACTAATGATCTCTAAATTTTTGTGCACAGGGAACAACATTCCTGATGTATATAACAGCGAAGAAACAGATGACAGGAAATATACATACACAGTAATTGGTCTAATAAATATAGTGAAGACTGATGAGGATGACCATTAATTGCACAATCAAGTGTTGCTGAGTATGATGAGATAGATGACCAATAGTACAGAGCTGAAATAATTGTTTTAAGCAGTCCTTAAGATTTTGGCATTAGTTTTATAGACTTTAGACATGTATCCCTAGTTAGAGTAGAGGTGAATTTAACAAGGATGTCACCATAAACTAATAATTAGCGGATATCCCCCTCAATGTTCTATAAGATAAGATCCTGATTTACCCAAGACCTTAATCTGAATTTTTACAATTTTCTACTTTGAAAAAATCTTTCACAATACATTTGAGTGTGTGCAAGAGTAAGTAGTACTTTATGTAGTAGAAAAGTATTGTATATGCAGCAGACTGCAAGGTATGATCATACAAAAACCCTTTAAAAGCAAGTAAGACAGTTCTCACATGCTATATAGTTAACAATAATGCGGTCTTAATTCTCAACAATTTCATCTTTTAAATATTTGTGTAGGGCTAGGTTTCTTTAGAAAAATAATAATGAATAACTTTCTTGGACACCAAGAAGTTCAACCTTAAGCAGAAAAATATAATCATCAGATACAGTGCTCAGCATAAATGAGTACACCCCTTTTGAAAAGTAAGATTTTAATCAATATTTTAATGAACACAAAATTTTGGCAACTAAGTTTTACAGAAGATTTGTTTAGTTCATTACATGAAAGTAAGGTTAATAATATAACTTAGATTACAAAATCTTCAGTTTTACTCAAATTATTTGATGAAAAAAATGAATACACCCCACAACAAAAAACTACTACATCTAGTATTTTGTATGACCTCCATGATTTGTAAGGAAAACACCAAGTCTTCTAGGCATGGAATGAACAAGTTGGGGATATATTGCAGCATCTTTTTCATTTCTTCAAGAATTACCTCTTTTAGAGCCTGGATGCTGGATGGAAAGTGATGCTCAACTTGTCTCTTCAGAATTCCCCATAGGTGTTCGATTGGGCTCAGATCAGGAGACATACTTGGCCACTGAATCACTTTCTTCTTCAGAAATGCAACAGTGGCCGTGGATGTGTGTTTTGGACCATTGTCATGTTGGAAAAGTGCACGACGACCAAGGGCATGGCATGATGGCAGCATCTTCTCTTTCAATAAAGAGTAGTACATCTGTGAACTCATGATACCATCAATGAAATGCAGCTCACCAACACCAGCAGAACTCATGCAGCTCGACAGGAGGACACAGCCACCACCATGATTCACTGTGGGCACCAAGCATTTTTCTTTGTACTCAACTCTGCGACGCCATACAGTTTTGAAGCCATCCATTCCAAAAACATTTAACTTGGTCTCATCACTCCAGAGTGCAGAGTCTCAGTAGACTCTGGCAAATTATAGGCAGGCTTTTTTGTGCATGGGCTTTAGGAGAGGCCTACTTCGTGGACGACGCCCATGCATGCCATTACCCTGCAGTGTACGCCATATTGTGTCATGGGAAACAATCACCCCAGTTTGGCTTTGTATTTCTATAGCTAACTGCAGTGAACTTGAATGGTGGTTTTCTTCAACCCTTCTCATCAGAAGACGCTCCTGTCGAGGTGTTAACTTCCGTGGACAGCCTGGACGGCTCTGTAAGATGGTTGCAGTTCCATCTTTGTAAATTTTTGTATCACTTTTGCTACAGTATTCTGACTGATAAGAAAAGCGTTGCTGATCTTCTTTAGCCTTCACCTTTCTTGTGTAAAAAAATTATTTTCTTTCTCAAGCCTTGTGACATTTCTCTTCCATGTGGTGCCATTGCTGACAGCCTGAAATGGGAAGAGGTTTTCTTTGTTAAGTAACGCCCTTTTATAATCAACTGTCTGCTGGACACCTGTTTAATTATTATTACAGGTAATTGTATAGCGCCGTCAATTTACGCAGCTCTTTACATATATATTGTACATTCACATCAGTCCCTAACCCTCAAGGGGCGTACAATCTAAAGTCCCTAACTTACATTCATACATACACATACTTGGGCTAGGTTTGACACGTTCCATTTAACCTACCAGCATGGCTTTGTAGTCTGGGAGGAAACTGGAGTACCCGGAGGAAACCCAGGCAGGCACAGAGAGAAAATGCAAACTTCAGGCAGGTGGTGCCGTGGTTGGGATTCAAAACAACAACCCTAGTACTGCCTGGAGAAAGTGCTAACCATTTAGCCACTGTTCTGCCCAATCAATAGACTCACCTGTAGTTAAATTCTTGTTAATTAGGATTTTGTTGTCTAAAATTTAGCTTTGCTGCTAACACTTTCATTGGGGTGTATTCATTTTTGCAATATGGTCTTGAATTCATTTGTTAGGAAAAATACTTTTTTTGTGTGTGCAAATTAAGAAATCTTGTTTGCAATCAATGGGCCGCATTTGTGGAAGTATTCTGTAGTATAGTGTCCCATTGAAAATGTTGATTCTGAAAGGAAAGTAATGGTTTTCTGAAAAATTTGTTGGGGTATACTCATTTATGCTGAGCACTGTAATAGTGCCTATACCATTAGGGGTCTACACATGTATTAAGAGTACAAATCCAAGCATTACTAATCTAGAAGTGAGATGCTGAACCCAAAATAAATTATTCTTACTTACAGAACATAGTTTGCTCATTTGAATCAGTTTTATAGACCAGGGGTGTCAAACTCAATTACATTGTGGGCCACATCAGCATTATGGTTGCCCTCAAAGGGACAGTTGTATCTGTAATACTAGATGTGCTGACTCCCCCACCCCTCCCCCCTTATATCAAATGTCAAGAGCCTCCCTACCATCGAAAGTCAACAGTCCCCCACTCTTCCTTACATCGCAGTGCACCCCCTTACCTTGTGCTTCTGCCAGGAAGAAGCTGGGGGTGGAGCTGGGAAGCAGAAAGTGCAGAGTCTGGAGGAGGACCAGAGGAGGGCTGGTGTCAGCTGTCTGAGTTTGCTGAATGCTGAGACTAGGGGAGGCTGAGATGAGGGAGTACTGCAGCTGCACAGAGAGGCACAGGATGTGGTGGAGGAGTTCTGTCCTCTCTTCCGACGACTGCTGAGACAAGGTGGGGGCAGAGATGAGGGTGGTGCCACAATTGCAGAACTGGTGTGAGGGCCACATGAAATGGCCTGGGCAGTCAGAGTCGGCCCATGGGCCTTGTGTTTGACACGTTATAGACTGTGCCGCAGCATATAGTTTTCTCTGATCCTCCCCTTCTTCTAATGTCCCCAATATA